TCCCTGGGAGCCTGGTCTGACGTCAGCAGATGGCCCTGTGACCGCCCCCAGGTTTAGTGCGGACCACAGCAGAGAGAAGCCGAAACAACTTGTAAGTGGCTGCGAGCTCTGTGCCAGTCTTCTTAAAGATCTAGGTACGGGGACCCCGGGGGGCCCAGTGTTGAGCATCTGCCTCCGGCTCAGGGCGTGACCCCGGGGTTCCGGGATCGAGTCCCGCATCGGGCTCCCCGCAGGGAGCCTGCTTCTCCCTCTGCCTGTGTCTCTGCCTCTCTCTGTGTCTCTCATGAACAAATAAAATCTTAAAAAAAAAATCTTGCTACAATTTCTATGTCATATAAACTCTTCATGAAAACCTTACGCAGGGATCCCTGGGTGGCGCAGCGGTTTGGCACCTGCCTTTGGCCCAGGGCGCGATCCTGGAGACCCGGGATCGAATCCCACATCGGGCTCCCGGTGCATAGAGCCTGCTTCTCCCTCTGCCTGTGTCTCTGCCTCTCTCTCTCTCTCTGTGTGTGACTATCATAAATAAAATTTAAAAAAAAAATGAAAACCTTACGCACCAGGAAAATCTCCACTTTAAAAACGAGGGCGCTGAAGCAGGAGCTTAGCTAACGTGCCCAGAGCCCTGCAGCCAGAAGGGGGCAGAGTGGAACCAGGGTCCGTGCTGGCCTGGCTCCTCCGTGCTGCCTCCCAGGGGACCAGGGGCCGGCTGGGACTCTGCCCGCGGCCTACACTCCAGGGCCTTGGTCGGGAGTCAGAAGTCAGCGTCCAGCTCGCCAGTCTGCAGGTGCTGCCGGGGGAACTACCATGGGCCAAGCCCCGTTCCAGATGCTGGAAGATAGTGGGGAGCCACGAAGACGTGGCCCCTCCACCTGTGGCCCCTCCGCCCGTGGCTTCTTGCCTTCAGGGGTAGAGCAAGGAGAAGGGGCTGGTGACACCGGAGGCCAACAAGGTGGAGGAGCCGGAAAGTGAGGGTTAGGAGGGGGTCCCACCGGGGTGCAGTTTGGGGGAGGGCAGCATTCCCAGCCTGGGGTGCGAATTGTGTCCCCCAACAAGATCTGTTGGAATCCTAACCCAGGTGCCTGTGAACTTGCCCTCATTTAGAAATAAGATCATTGCACATATAATTAAGACCAAGTCACACAGGATTGGGATGGGTGCTGATGCAGTGACTCATGGCCGCATGAAAGAGGAACATGTGGACACAGACTCAGACGGAAGCTGGCCGTGGGGTGCTGGAGGCAGAGGCAGGAAGAGGAAGGATCCCCCAGAGGCTGGTGGGGCCCGGCTCTGCTGACTCCTGGCCTCCGCCCCATGAGGAAATACATTTCTGCATTTTGAAGCCATGCAAGTCAGCTGTCATTGTCGCAGCGACCACAGGAAGCTGATACAGGTGGGAGCACCAGGTATTACTGACAATTTCCCAAGTGCTGCTGATGCGGCTGGTCCCAGAACCCCGGGCCCCTGAAGAGCCACTGGTTCATGTGACAGTGGAGGCTAACCCACGGGCCCGGGGAGAACGTGAGTGTTGTTGCAGCATCTCCAGGGTACCTGGCCTGATTGTGGGACTGGGGTGGTCTGGAGAGTTCCAGAGACAGGTGGAGCCTCGGCACCTGCACAGCACTGGGAGGGAAGGTGAGGAAATGCTTTACCCATCGGACCCCAGAGAGGGCATCATGTACTTCAAACAAGGGAGGAGGACGAGACGTGCCCCTGGAGGGGCCATCCCAGTGGGGTTTGGTCAGGAAGGATTGCAAGTCTGCACCTGGCAATGACCGCTCAGGACAGTTAGTAGGTAAAAGCTGGTATCCCCTCCCCAGGAGGCGGCCCACGGACAGGGGGTGATGGGGCGGGGGGATGGCTTGGGCCTCCCAGCCAAGGGACTCCTCTGCCAGGGAGTAAAGACACTTGGCAACCTTTTCCACTGCAAGAGAACTTCCCCATCACACTCTTGAACCCTCCTGTCTGTCCCTGGTGACCCAGAGAGGGGCACCCAGGGCCAGCTTCTCATGTAGGCTCTTGGGACTAATCCTTTTTCAATAAGAGCCAAAGAAAAGTTGAAATCCTACCTTTGCAATTCATTTCTCGATTTTGTTTTTTAAATAATGCTTTTGAAATATCAAAGTGGATTAGGGTTTGATTTGTCTATGTTATTTATTTTTAGCCAGGAAAATTAACATTTTGTTAGGTTTTGTTAGGTTTCTTTAAAGTGAGAGCAATAATGAGCTTGGGCAGGATAACAGGTCTCAAGGCAGGCGGTTAGGCTGGGCAGGGGTGGTCACCCCCCACTCCCCCACCCCTGACCTGGCTGACCCTGATGCAGGGTCAGTGACCTCTGGGAGTGGAGGCTGCTGGCCAGCAGTGATTTATGTGAGCCATTTGCACATCAAAGTTTGTTTTGTCAGCAGACTGGAGGCTTTCAGCCACCTTTCCTGCCCCTGGGTGCAAACCAGCCAGGACATCAAGGGAGATGGCAGGACTGACCCTGGGGAGCCAGCAACCAGGGCTGCACGCAGGCAGAGCCCTGAGGTCCTCCGGAGGCTGATGTTCCCCATCACTTGTGGAGACACTCCTCCTGAGGCCGGCGGACAGGGTGGGCAGCGAGGGAATGCACCTGCCGGAGGCCACCCCCCGCCCCCCGCCCTGCCCCGTACCTTAGCTTCATGGGCGAAAGCTGGAGCTTCACCAGGCTCCAAATAGATGCAGTGAGGGAAATAACGGGGATGAGACCACGTCCCCCCTCATCCTCTCACTTTTCACGTCCTGGTTTTCACTTTTCTTAAGGACTATCCCTTGTATGCATTCCTATTTACTAATATTTCTCCCCAACACATATACACGTTTTTCACAAACAATAAATATGACTATCTCCGATCACGATCATGGTCTAGAAATTTTTATTTAAAATTTGACTTCCTGGGACACCTGGGTGGCTCAGTTGTTGAGGGTCTGCCTTCAAGGGCATGATCCTGGAGTCCCGGGATGGAGTCCCACATCGGGCTCCCTGCATGGAGCCTGCTTCTCCCTCTGCCTGTGTCTCTGCCTCTCTCTCTGGGTCTCTCATGAATAAGTAAATAAAATATTTTTTAAAAATTTGTCTTCCAAAAAAAAATTTTGTCTTCCTATTCAAGGTCCTTCCTTAATAATTGTGATTTTTGGTGGGTAGAATTATGATCATCTAACATGGCAGACTTCAGACTTCCTAAAGGCAGAGCTGAATTTCCCAAATAAATAGGAGCCATTTTCAGTGTCATCAAAAATAGCCGAGGGGCACCTAGCGGGCTCAGTTGGTGGAACATGCGCCACCTGATCGCAGAGCCATGAGTTCGAGCCCCACATTGGGGATAGAGATTATTTAAAATAATAAATAAAAATCTTTTTTAAAAACCCACAAATGTAAATATAAGAAAAATTACGTTTGAGTATATCATAATTTCACATTTTTATACAAGACACCTTAAAGATATGCGATAAAATGGGAGAGAAAACCCCGCAATATGTCTCAAAGAACTATGATCTGAAATTTATAGCAGAATCCTACAAATGGGCAAACCTGACACAAAAACACTAAACTAAAAAACTTATCAAACAGGAGATTAAAATGGTCGAAAGACACACAAAAAGATGCTCCACCTCACCAATAAGTGGAGAAATGAAAATTAAAATGAGACGCAGCTCTCCACCCATCAGTCCGGCGACGGTGAGGAAGCCAGCGGGGCAGCAGGTGCGGCCGCGGGGGGCCAGGGCTCCCTCGGGAGCCTCGGCGGGGAACAGGGCCCTTCTTCACGCTTGTGCACAGCGGTGCAGGGCAGGCCAAGGCCCTCGTACTCCTCGGGGGGGAAGAACCGGGGAACCACGATAACCCAAGACGGGGAAACGCCTCAGACGCCGGGGTGCCTGCACCCAGAACACCGGGGGGGACCCACCTGAACAACGGGGCCCAACGTGCTCTCCCCGAAACAGGAGTGAAAGAGACCGTGCGCACGACGGGACCTCGTCTGTGTCAAACACGAAGGGAAGAAAACACTTAAAACACATTTCGAGAAGGATGCCCCAGGGGAGGGTCAGTCGCTTTTCATCCGAGACTCTTTTACGGCTTTCGGCTTATTTTTCTGTGTTTGTACATCCCTTTTTTAGCCATTAAAAGAATAATTTTTTTTTTGATGAGGTACCTTATATTGGCTAACTGAACTTAAATTTAAAAAAAGAGAAAAAGAAAATTAATTTCAGAGTTCTCTGAAAAGCTTTTCAAGGACATATTTTAAAATAGAGAAATTCCAGAACATTTACATTGTACCAGTGAGGTAAAGACAAAAACAAAACTGGATTTTTGTTTTGACCCATGTTATGTAAATACATGGAAACAAGGCTGCAGGATGCCCACCGCTGATGGGCACCCTGAGGACTGCAACGGGATCATTTTAACATAAGTGAAAATATCCCTGGATAAATCATTAATTTAAAAAAAAAAAACCTTACCGGGCAGCCCCGGTGGCTCAGCGGTTTAGTGTCGCCTTCGGCCCAGGGCGTGATCCTGGAGTCCCAGGATCGAGTCCCACGTCGGGCTCCCTGCATGGGGCCTGCTTCTCCCTCTGCCTGTGTCTCTGCCTCTCTCTGTGTGTCTCTCATGAATAAATAAATAAAATCTTTAAAAAAAAGAAAAAAACCTTACCATCCAAAAGTAAAGTGAAAATGTATCAGAAGAAGTGCCCATCGATTTCAAGCAAAGTAAATGATAATAAAAATGCTGACCTGAGTCACAAAAATGAGGGACCTGAGTGGCCAGGGGTTGAACGAACGTCTGCCTTCAGCTCAGGTCATGATCCCAGGGTCCCGGGATCGAGTCCCACATCAGGCTCCGTGTGAGGAGCCTGCTTCTCCCTCTACCTATGTCTCTGCCTCTCTCTCTGTGTTTCTCATGAATAAATATAATCTTTTAAAAATAAATAAATAAATAAACAAACAAACAAACAAACTGGCAAATTTGTCTCATTTTCTCATTAATACACACTTTGGTTTATTCCAATACCACACCGTTGTACCACAAGAATGTTGATTTCACAAGTGATGTTTAATCCTGTAGCCACAATCCCCTCCCCGATATTTTTACAATATTTTTCTATATTTTTAAAATATTACAGAAATTGTTAGTTGAAAGGGACAGACACATTCTTTCTGCTGAATAAGGTATCATATTTAACTTAAAGATTATTAACCTTCTGGATGTTCTGGATAGAGGAATTTGAAGCTGCTGGGAGTCACATGTAACCCTGAGGTCTAAATAGGAAAATATCTTTTATAAACTGTAACAAATCTCACCTTGAAATAAAAACCTATGAAATGTACACAATTCCATCCAGAGTCAACATTGTTACAATATCCATTTTCAGAATGGACAATGACAACAGCTTTACATTCAGAAAACACAGCCTATATACCAAGATGGTGTAACTTGCCACCTGGCACCCCGTGTGCGAGAAGTCTGTTCAGCCCTTAGGCTGTCACAGAGTTGCCCTTATTAAAAATACACGTCCTCAGATGCCCAACAAGCCAGGCAGAACAATGGTTTGAAGGAAGCGAATGCCAATGGGACTTTTTCTGTGCATCTGACCGGAGGCATATCATTGACATTCCCGGGGATGTCCCCATGGCTCAGAGGGTTGCCGGGAACGTCTCCAGGTTTATAGGATCCTTACATAGTTTTCATCCAGTTCTCTAGAGTTGTGCAGTTCCAAACCAGCTTCTAGAACATCTGCTCAAAAACTGGCATTAAAGTGCTTCAATGCAACCTCCCAAAACATTATAAAGTGTCAGGTCAACTCAGGTCACTGCTCTACCTGGAATGACTAGCTTCATTTTTGTTTCTGGCCTACATTTCCTTTTAACACAATACAAAGGTGTAACACAGGGATGAGCCTATCTCTCTTAAAAACCCAACTGTGTTAGCTTCAGTTAGACTACCTAAGACTCGGGCAGACTGGCGAAAGTCCTAGCGCTTCCTCAGGGTAAGATGGTGCTGACTCTACAGCTAACCTGGCACCGAGTACCAAGAAATCCAGCGTGGCCACCGCTGAATGCCTGGTGGAGCTCCCCGAGGAGTCTTCTCTGGCTTCGGCCTCTCAATGACGGAGGATGTCATCAAAGGCCGAGAGGTGACCTGGATTCGGCTACTGGATCTCGCCAAGGAGCTCCTGCACAAGCCGTCGGGGCCAACACTGCCCCACAGTAAGATCTGGGTTACGATGGGCGGGCTGTGCTATGTGTCCCATTGAACAAAGTGCTCCCCGTGAGTCTGGGGCAGTCCAACCCTCCTGAACACACTATCGAAGCAGGTCACACCTGACATTCCCTGGGAGCCACAGCAGGGGTCACCTTGGCGAGCACAAAACCGTCTTCCTTCTGTTCATCTGTGTTTGCGAGCACACGTGTGTGTTTGTGTGTGTGTGTGTGTGTGTGCGTGCGCGCGTGCACACCCTCACTTTAGCACGCTGACCGCTTTAGCATGGCTTGCAGCCAACGGCCAGCAGAGCACTGCAGTGGCTGTGCCTTTCACAGAAGCCTTGCTTCAGGCTGGGTCACAGTGAGTTAACTGTGTGCACAGCACAGCAGCCATTCAACCGGGTCACTCGAAAATTAGCTAAATCAGTTCAGGTAGTGGTGAGTTTTGTGTTTCTCTCTTTTTTTCCCCCCCAAAAAACCTCCAGAAGAATTTTTTTAAGCCACTTATTTTAAATGTTAGTGAAGAAACATGTGAACCCAAGGTCCCAGAAATGAGCAGCTGACTCCAGAGTGTCACTCCAAAGTGACACAGACGAATTAAGCAAGTTCTAAACGCATCAAGGTGTGAAACAGGGAACACGGCAATCTGCCTCCGGGGAAGAACAGTTTTGTTCTAAGTTCTTTGTGGGCAGCAGCACCCTCGCTGTGACAGTCATCCTCCCGAGTCCAGCTGCCGCCTTAAACGGGACTGTCGTAGTGCAGACGCCGGCGGTGATGGACCCGCCACCTTCCCTGCCCTCCAGGGCAGGAGAAGCCACAGCCCGGTCCACTTGTTACCTGCACGGGCCGGAGAGCATCCTGGGCAAATACCCAGGGAGCGTCGTGTTAGCGTTTCCCCCAAAGGCAGTAAAAGAGAACAAGTGCAAATGTTTTATCACCTACAAGCCCACGTAGACCTTACAGCAGTAGGTGGTGGCTCTCCAGGCCACGGGGGACAGGAGGAGACAAGGGGAGCGGGCGGGCTCTCCTGGCACACCTGGGGAGAGGCACACCCCGGGAGAGGCGCACCTTACAGCAGGCCTGGAACTCCTTGCGCAGAGCGAACTGGTTCATTAGGAAAAGATGGTCTTCTCTCGGACTGTAGTGGGAACGAGAGGGCGGAGGAGCAGGGTTCTTGCCAGAGGCTGCAAGAACAGCCTCATCTTGGCCCCTTTACTGAACTCTCAGGGTTCATTAACTCTCTTTTCATAACTTGGTACCTCTGATTCTTCCCCAAGGATAGCCAGCTTTGCATCCATTTCAGGACTGGGGCTTGGCCCACCTGGTGCAATTCCGTTTACACAGCTGCCTGGCCTCCCCTCAGGCGCTGGGCCCCCGGAGGCCTGCTCACCCCCAGCAGCTCGGAAGGAGGTGGGCAGACGCAGCCTGCAATGGGCCGTGCTCCGGCTGACCTCACGATCCCTCTGTCCTCTGCTGAATGGGCCCCTCGGGCCCCTTGGGTCTCCATTCACGTCGCTGAGGTATCCAGTGCTGCCACTGGGAGGAGCCGCAGGGACTCAGGAAGGTCCTAGTGTTCTGGGCTGTGTTCTCCAGCGTGGCCAAGACATGGAGACTTCATACACTGAGCCCTGAGGTCCCTGCAGACGAACCCAGCTGTTCTCCGCCCTCCTTCCAGCTGTGAGCCTGGCACTGGGCTGCCTACAGAACACTGGATTCACAGAAGTCAGGCCAAGAAACTGGCACTGGCACCCTGCACACCCCAGTAGCAGACAGGGGGGAGCCAGTTCTGGAGGTAAAATCGGTGAGTCGCCCATCTGTGTTCTCACGGCCACTTCACACAAAGACTGAAGTGTTTTAAATACGAGGGTTCACATCCACAGGAGGTATCGGTAGGTGCTGAGGTGACCACATGTCCACTCCAGAGCCATTTTAGCTGCCAAAGTCCCAGGTCTCCAATAACCAGAAAATCTCAACTGAGGGAGATCACGGGCCTCTCCCTGGAAGACAACACCACTGACATCATCTCAGAAATATTTCTTCTGTCTAGTGTAATCATAATTCACTCGAACAGTTTAATAAAAGTATTAAAATATACTTCATCTTTTCTTCTAACTACATTTATATATAAATCCCTGAGAAGGTACCTGTCAACTTGTAATTCACTATTTACAGTTAATAAACATCAGGGGTGCAAGGAGACACCGGCTTGTCCTCCTCTGTATAGCAGAGTGTCTGTCATCTGGCAGGAGAGCAAACTAGGTCTCCCTCCCTTGGACAGGGGTAAGGGGGTGGGGGGCTCAGTCAGTTGAGCATCCAATTCTTAATTTTGGCTCAGGTCATGATCTCATGGGTTATGGGATCAAGCTCTGCATTGGGTCTCCTTGCTCAGCAAGGAGTCCACTTGAAAGATTCTCTCTCAAAATAAATAAATCTTAAAACAACAACAACAAAAAGGCATGTGGGGCTGTGCCGAAATCCTAAACTCTCTGCACAGAAACTGGGGAAATCTGTCCTTCATTCACTGGGTAGGTGGAGGTCACTACATGATAACTCAACTGCCTCTCATGATCGCCTTCCTTTTCTGCCCTTTTTAGACCTCAGAGTGGTGGTGCCAAGGAGGATCAGGGCATTTAGCCAAAACTGGAGAAGAAAACAAGCAAAGGAAGGAGAGGCAAGCAAGGAAGAGAGAAGGTGAAGGGAGTGGCAAGGAATGAATGTGCCCACAGAGCAGAAGGAGGTCATTGCCCATCATCGCCCCTGCCCCCAACCAACACTAGAAGCAAGGCAGCAAAAGGTGACCCCTCAGTGAGAAAATACAGCCAGCCACTCAAAGCAGTGAAAATACACAAACCAGAAAATGATCTCAACAGATGCTGGATCAGACTGTGAGGGAGATGAGGGGTGTTTCTCTTCACCTCATCTCTTCCAAGGAGACTCGGCCAATCCCAACTCTTGGAGCTGCAGCTACCCTTAGTATCAGTGATGCTAAAAGTGGTTCCAGACCTCTATGCCATTCTGAAAAAAGGGAAAGGCTCACTAAAATCTGACTTTGAGAGCTGCATTATCATCACGCCTACCCATCAGGCTGGTGCTGTCCAGTAGCCTGATGATTGAAGTTTCTGGAGAGAGGAGCATGAGGCCCCAGAGAGCGCAATGCTTCATGGTGCCAAGAGGGAGGCACCAGAGAGAGGCCGGCGCCACCGTGCCCACATCATGAGAGAGGTGCTCATCACGACACAGCCAGGGAGCACAATTTGACATGTGAATCCAGGGTTATGAGAAAAAGCTTCCAAATCAGTCGCTACTATTTTAGATCTATGGCTTCCAAGCAGGATAATTTTTAAATAAAGTGCCGTCAGTAGTGCATATGTGACAGATACTCTGCAACCCACATGGCCAGAGATTCATTAGAATTTCTCAGTGCTTTGGAGATAAAAAGTCTGGACAAAAACTCCCACTGAGCTCAGGGCCCAGGGCAAATCACATCCGTGCTCTGCCCAAGTCCCCATATCTTGAAAATTCTACAAAGCCAGCATGAGGATAAACTGAACATCACAGGCAGTCATCAAAGGAAAAAATACAAGTAATTCCACACCAGGAGCTCTTTGGAATTGAGTCTGGAGGAGGGAGCAGCCCTCCTCCGGACTCACTCCAGTAGAATTTGCCTAAAACAAGTTTGCTTAATATTCAGTTCTAATCTGTTTGTTTAGTCCTCTCCCCCTTTCCAGTGATTTGTATCACCCTGATGGCTTATTCTTTTGCATCTTTTTTACGTTTTAAGGATATCTGAATTCAATTTACCTAAGAGCACAGAGGACTTAATTTTGTAATTCTAGTAAAATTCTATTACATTTGCCCCCATTTTATTAAATAATAGATTTTTCGCATATCTATTTTTTAATATGTTAAAGGCTTTGCATCCAGTTTATCTAAAGTCCCTTGCTTAAAATATTTAGTTCTAGCAATAAATACATGGTTCTCTATGCATGGTTTCGTGCTTTGACAACAGGTTTTTCTTCATTATTATTACCGTATAAGTAAGAGAGCTTTCAAATAAGATACAAAGGAAATCTGATTCCCCTGACTTACTTCATCATTTTTCTGGAAAAGTAAATGCCTCCATCAAGTAGAAACAAATATTCAGAAGAGGTTAATCAAATCAATAAGAACATACAATGCTCACACACACCTATGGTGAGAAGGAAAGACAAATGGCAAGAAAGGGGAGACTTCCACAAATTCTGTATGAAATCATAGAGATATCACAAATAATTATTGCTGGAAACAGTATGTTAAAGGGTCTTCAGGCAAACATGTTAAAACTGTCTTAAATACAAACAGCCCCATCACCAGTAAAATGCTGCAAATGGGATCATGATTAAAAATACAAAATTATTCAGACCCTTCGATAAATTGGTCTTAAAATTTTCTCAAGTGAGGTTCTAGAGATAGGCTTTTGGGGCAAATTTGCCCACTAGGTGTACGGATTGCCAGGGGAACCGGTTTTAGGCTCGTGGACCTGCGCCCTCCCCCATTCACCGTGCAGCCGGAACCGACGGCGCGCGTCTGGGCCCCGTGCGAGCCTGGCCCGGGGCTGCGGGGGCTGCGGGGCCGCGGGGACAGGGGGACACGGGGCCGCGAGCCAGCAGGGAGGCCAGCCGCACCCTCCCCCGCGCAGCCCCGCCGACCCCCGGGAGCCCGCCGCTCACGTCCTCTTCCTCCAGGACGGCGCCCGCTTCTCCTTCTGCGCCGCCGCCTCCCGCTGCTTCTCCGCCTCCTCCGCCCGCCTCTTCTCCTCCTTGGCCTCCTTGTACCGCCACTTGGGCAGCTGCAGGTGCGCGCTGTCCTTGGTGCTGCCCCTCGCGGCCGCCCGCTCGGGCTGGAAGGTGGGCGCGGGCGCCTTGCTGATGCGCACCCGGGGGATGACCACGCCGGGCCGCACGCTGCTCCTCCTCAGCAGCTGCAGGGGCAGGAGGCTGGCCCTCCGCGGGGCGCCCGGCTGCTGCGGGGACGCGAGGCCGGCTCTCGGGGCTCCCTCTCTGGAGACGCCCACGGCCCGCGAGGTCCGGAACGGCGGCTCGGAGCCCTCTATCTTGTCACCCTCCTGGGCGCGCGTGTCCCGGCTCCCCCGCGCCTCCAGGATTTCCTGCACCGCCAGGCGCCTCTTCCCCACGCAGGGGGCGTCCTCGGGGCACACGGTCTGGCAGACGATGGCCACGGCGGGGCTGTAGAGGCTCGTGGTCATCCTGACCATGTGGTCCAGGACGCCCCCATCCTCCGGGCCCTGGCGTGAGCGCGAGGTCAGCGTGGAGCGCACAAGCTCGGCAAGCCTCTGCAAGCAGCTTTTGGAGCCCGACGGCTTCAGAACCGCCTCCGCGGGCAGCGGCAGCTCTGGCTTGTACCTTTCCCCGAACTGCTCCGGGCAGGGTCGCTCCAGCAGCCTCTGGATGAGGCGGACCGCCTCCAACCGTCCGGTGTAAGCCGCCCACTCCTGGGGCGCCATCCCGCGGCGCGGGTCCCTGGCATGGACGTCTGCCCCTGAAAAATATGCAAACACAAACGGCAATGGGAGAGAATGCGCCAAGAACAACCCGGCCAACGGCAGGAAAGGAAAGACTGAAATGGATCAAAGGCAGAAGCTGGGAAACTTAGTAACTGACCACCTGGAGCTGTGGCACCTGGATGACCCTGCCTCTGCCCCTGAACTGCGAGCACCATTAGACACAGCCCACCTTGAAGAGCTCCAGCTAGTGGCTTACTTTTCCTAAACAAAACTGCCTGAACCCAGCCCCTAAATCGCACGATTTTTAAAGAAATAAGACTTCATGGCTTTCCAGCAATGGAGAGATGACTAGACAGCCAAGGTGCTTCCTGAACACTTCAATGATGTTACTAGAATGTTCCAGAATACTAAAAGGAATAATCGCTTGCAAAGTGCTTGGCATCCCATTTCTTTATCACCTCACATTTTCCAGGAAATGTGCAGTCCCTCACTTCTTATACTGTGTGGTTGGTAGGTCCTAGATCTATCCTCTTCACCAAACTGTGGGCTTCTCCACCACAGAGTCCACCTCTTACTCGTTTTGGTTTCCTTGACACATCTTGTCCTGGCTGGTGGAGGCGTGCATTTAATAAAGATATGTTACAGACGGTGGTAGTCACAGTGGCCAAGGGACCTACCTGAGGCCTCCAAGCTGGTAAAAGTGAACGTCTCAGCCCCATGCACTTCCTGCCACCCCACAGGGAGGGCTGCTTCCTCTATGACAGTTTTCTGCGTCAACGTGGCCAGACTACAATACCCAGGGATTTAAACTCAAATCTAGGTGGACTGTGAAGGTATTTTGTAGGTGCAGTTAGCATTCACAGTCAGTTGACAGAGTAAAGGAGATTGCCCTCAACAATTTGGGTGGGCCTCATCCAATCAGTTGAAGGCCTTAAGAACAACAGCTACAGTTCTCTGGAGAAAAAAGAACTCGGCCTCAAGACTGCACCATTAACTCCTGTCCAAGTTTCCAGGATGGCCTGCGCCCACTAATTTTGGGCTCTCCAACCCACAAAATCATGTGAGCCAATTCTTTAAAAATAAATCTCTTCATGTGTACCTCTTATTGGTTCTGTGTCCCTAGAGAACCCTGACTCCTACATCCTCAGTCACTTCCTTAATAAATCTCACCCATACCACCCACTGCCCCCTCCTAATACTGCAAATTTAAACTTCAACTCAACTTGATGAAATGTTCATAAATTTCAGCATGGTCGTATAAGAGAAATTAATAAGGAATTGCTGTTCAATTAATCTTGGTCCAAATCCCAGCCCCGTACACAGTTAAAAATCATTCAGGATTTCAGGTCACATTAGTCATACTTTCTCTGGCAAAGCAATGTGGAGAACTAGGGCAATTATCTAGTCTGTGAACTCCCCAGGGACCAGGACTGGCAGAGGCTTCTGCATTTATATCCCATACAGACCCAGGTGGCTGACGTGCAGCGGTGGCTCAGTGCAGAACAGAGGCGAGGAGGGCTCAGTGGCCCCCCTGCCCCAGCACCCCTCCAGCGACCCCCCACCCCAGCCTGGGCAGACCCAGCTCACCTGAGATTGCCTCATCATGCTCTTCATTCAGGGGCATATTAAAAAATAGGCATATTAGAAGAGTGGTAATTATTTGGAACTGGAGATCGGGATGGAACTCATTAGCCCGAGTACAATTTATAAACTGACAAAAATGAAAAGGGGGCAGTAAAAATGTCGCCACAAAAAATAGATGACACATTAAACCTTAATTAATTGCATGTCACTTAAAAAGGTACAAACTGCAAAATTAAAATCTTAATGAACATGGCTTGAGAGAGACATTTTTCAAAAGCTAATGGAAAACTAAAGGAACAGCTGTCCAAAGTGTAGCACACACACTTCTTCCTGTTGCTTTCGTGCCTTTTCAAAATGATCTTGCAACCCACACACGTTTGGCAGAATGGCAGCGCAGCCTAAGGGTAGGAGTTGTGCCATCATTTCGGCATTCACTTCCTTTTCTTTTTTTTTTTTTTAAGATTATTTATTCATGAGAGACAGAGAGAGGCAGAGACACAGAGGGAGAAGCAGGCTCCATGCAGGGAGCCCGACATGGGACTCGATCCCGGGTCTCCAGGATCACATCCTGGACTGAAGGCAGGCACTAAACCGCTGAGCCACCCAGGGATCCCATGAGGATTCACTTCCTTCGGCAATCGGTCTGGGTAATATTCATGGCCCGGGGGGAGTGACTAAATCATGGAAGGCTGGCACCGGTGACCAACACTCGATACACAAGCCTTTTAGAAAACAGAGAATTCTGATGGGCCGGCATCTCCATCTTCTCCTCATGAACTTCTGGCATCCTGTTCTCACCCCCTACCCAGTGCTGTTTTGCCCAGAGCTCCAGGCAGCAGCCTGAAGTCGGGCTCCCGCCCATGCATCCACTTGCCGCCACGCCATTGAGTGCTGTGAGCTGTCTACACAAAGTCCTCTAGTTTATTCCAGGCAGCAACATACTCAGTTCTAGGCAATGCATCATGCCTGGTGTAAACCTGGGTTTTGCCACTTAGGTACTATTGATGTTTAGGGCAGATCATTATTTGGTGTGGGGGCTGTCCTGTGCATTGTTACGACTTGTAACGGCACCCCCATCTCTGTCCAGTAAGTGCCAGCAGCATTCCACAGTTGTGACAGCCAAATACATCCCCAGACATTACCGGCTGTTTCTAGGGGGCAGCCCCCACCCCTAGTGGGGAATTACTGGTCTACCCAGTAACTGCAATCCTGTTCCCCCTTTTTCTTAGCCTCCCTTACAGCTGGACAGTGAGCCCCAAAAAGAAGGCTTTTGTGCCCTGATAAAAGTGACCACTATGGTTGGAGGTGCTGCCGCTGCCTATCTGAAGCCCACAGTTCTGGTGACCAAGTCGTGGTGGGGAGGACGGGTGATGGGGGTACTGGGTCAACGCATAAAGGAACCTAGTTCTGTGATGTCCTCACGGAGCCCAAGGCCAGCACTGCACTGTGACAGCCCACCTCAAGACTTTCGGTGAGGTGAGAAAAACGTGCTTGTTTTCTTTCAGCCACGGGCAAGGCAGGATGTCTGACTGGAAGCAGAAAGCACTCTAAGCAGGTGCTAAAGGAAGACAAGCTACCTTCCATCATTCATCCTAGAAGCTTCCCCTAGAGTCGTGGCCAGGTGCACAGGACCGGCGCAGGCAGCCAGAGCCCGGGCCGTGTTGCTTCCTGGCCGGCTTCTCTGCCAGCCCCCCACGTTATCTACCCTTCTAAGCCCCGCTCTGGTCCCCCTCCCACCAGGAGACCTTTCTGGTCATATGCGACCCCTGCATGTCCCCTCCTGTGCCATCCTGGCCTGTATCTGGAGTACTCAGGGTATAAGCGATACGGTAAATCAGAATGCGGGGTCTCAGGAGAGGCCTAATTTGGGGGCGGGGAGGATGGACACCTGCTTCCAGCCTGGTCCACCCCGGAAGCCGTTTCCAAAGAGATCTTGTACTTGGTCTTTCAGAGGGTCTCACAGCAGGGCCGACTCCCGGTTACCCAAGGGCTCCCTTCCCCATCCTTCACGCAGCTTCCTGGCTTACCGTTCAGAAAACCTAGTTGCCCTCAAGTCCTTCTCTCAAGGTTTGCTTTTGTGCCAAGCTAAATACCCAAGCGAAGACACTGCCCTTGGTGACACGGAATGCCTGACTTTTAGCCCTTTCTCTGCATAATAATTTGAAACTATTCCAACTTGGCAAATTCTCAGGTCACAGGAAAACCATATTTTCCTTATAAACAGAAAGAAACCTCTGCAGTGATACCGTTATCACTTAGCTTCGGGAGCACACCGTCGGGGCTTGCCTGGGACAAGAATGACCACAGGACCAACCAACAACAGCAGTGCCTCTCCCCCATTAAACCAGCCTCCCACCCCTTCCGAGGTGTCTGCTTTGTTGCCCGAAATCACAGGAAGAGTCGAGCATCTTATTTGCCTACGTCTGCTTCCCAAATGCCGCAGCAATCAGACCACGCTTCAGGTATAAAAGCCAGCTCTCTTAAGCAAGTCTGGAGCCTGCCAGCCTCCACTGAGCTCTGCTTCTCTTCAGAGAAAATCAAATCCTCGTTATGGCTTCTCGGAGCCACTTATTTAAATAGACCTGTCACTTCAAGGCATTAATATTCCGTTGAATTAACAAGAATCCACAGCCCCACTTGCGATTCTTATCAGCAGAACTGACATTATTCCTGGAGAAGCCAAAAACCAAAGAGCCAACAAATCAGCTTTTCAGACCCTGGTTACATTTTTATTAAAATCCAAAGTATTGATAATTCTCACATTATTTCGTTCTGCCTGACAAGGTAAGAGATAAGAGCTGGTATGTGTCTGTATGTTATGAACCACTGGAAAATCTAAACAGTTTAGGGGGGGCATCCAATTCCCTGATCCATCATTTCTAAAAGGAAATGGTTCGTACTGAATGGAATGAAATTGCAACTCAGAAATTCAACTCAGGTGCAGAAATACACTCAGGTACAGGAGAATGCTTGCACTTGAAAAAATGAGGATGAGATACCCATTTCTACCTTAGCCATTCACACATTACAGCGCTTTGTGCCTTTTGCTTTTGAATTGATCACAAGATGACCATTCTGTGATTAGCTCTCAAGGGACTTTCCACAGCTGCACACAAATGCCCTTGATGTTGAAACGTTAATCCAAAGAAGTACGCCGGCACTAGTATCTTTAGAGGCTTTAATTTTTCTTTTTTCTTTTTTTTTTTTTTAGATTTTATTTATTTTTTTATTTACGAGAGACACACAGAGAGAGGCAGAGACACAGGCAGAGAGAGAAGCAGGCTCCATGCAGGGAGCCCGAAGTGGGACTCGATCCCGGGACCCCAGGATCACGACTTGAGCCAAAGGCAGATGCTCAACCACTGAGCCACCGAGGTGTCCCAAGGCTTTAATTTTACTAAATATTAATACATTAAATGGAAACAAGAAGATTTTAAAATACTCGTGCAAATTTTTTAAATATCCCCACAAGTCTCCTTATTGTTATCCACCCAATCCAGGAGAGACTTCTATCACACCTTTTTTTTTTTTCCTTTTAAAATGTAACGTGCATTTTTTTTTTTAAGTTAAACATAATATGCAGGGCACCTGGGTGGCTCAGTGGTTGAGCATCTGCCTTCAGCTCAGGTCGTGATCCCGGGGTCCTGGGATCAAGTCCCACATCAGGCTCCCTGCGAGGAGCCTGCTTCTCCTTCTACCTGTGTCTCTGCCTCTCTCTCTGTGTGTCTCTCATGAATAAATAAATAAAATCTTAAAAAAGAAAAAAGTAAAATAAATAAAGAAGGAAAAATAAAGAAAAAAGAAAAAAGTAACATGCACATCTACTTATGTAAAAGGAAAATGTATTTTCCTGGGAAAAAGAAGTATGCGCTACCTTAGTAACAGAAAATTTAAATCTTCTAGAAATTAAACAACCAAAATCTTAGAGGGCCACTCAGAAACTCCCTGAAAAAGGTGTCAGATTTTTACATTAAGAGGAATATAGAAAAAGCTGGAAGGAGGAATTGCATATTAGAGGGAAAAGCTTCTCTTTTCATTTTTTCTATCCTTTCCCATTTAATCACATCAGTGGTTCTTAACAGGAGAGGACTTCACCTCCCCAGCCCCAACCCAGGGACATTTGGCAATGTCCAGAGACATTTTTCATTGTCACGACTTGGGGTGCTAAAGTCACCTAGTGGGCAGAGGCCAGGGATGCTGCTAAACATCCTACAGTTCCCAGGACAACACCCCACCACCACCACAAAGAATTACCTGACACCAGATGTCAACAGTGGCAGGGCTCAGAAACCCGAGCATACAGGCCTATCACCCTCAGCAGGCAAGTTTGTTTCACTGCAAGGGTACTTGTCAAGGGGAAAGCCATACCACTGCTTCTCATTCATGTAACAAATAATTACTGAGCACACAAATTCACCAGTAACAATAATGACAACCAGCACTGACTCCGTGCCAGACGTGCACCCAACACTAGTCCACTGGGGAGCTCATTCAGTCCCCATCCAGCCTTCCCACAGTGTCATCCACTCGCTGCACAGAAGAGGAAACTGAGGCTCAGAGCATCAGGCGACTGGCCCCCATATGGAGGGGATAAGTGAAAGGGGCTGGAGTCTGAAACCAGGGGTCCTGGCTTCCAAGTTAACTCCGCTGACCACAGGTCTGCACTCGTATGGACTGTTCTAGACTTGGATGCGGCTGGGCTCGGGGGAGGGAAAGAAAGGATGGTACCTCAAACCTAACACCAAATTCATTATCTGTAATGGAGGGGGAAGAGAACAATGTGGCACCACACTGGACGCCCGGCCCATCTCTCAAGAGACCCCAGAGATGTTTCTGCCATCTTCTAAACACTTAGCAAATGTCAGAAACTTCCACCAGCCCCGGGAAAGAAGCAGAATGACAGCAAAACCCCTGCATTACCCAGAGTGATCGGAAAGGCAATCGACCCCAAAACAAAAGGTTTGTAATTCAAGTGAAGTCATCAGGAAAAATGCAGTGACAAAGTGGCTGACATCATAAATTCTTGGTTAAAATGTAAATTACTAGGAAAAGAAGAAAAGTGAGGACGGCAAACCCTAAGAGAGACTCTTAATCACAGAGAACCCGCTGAGGGTGGCGGGAGGGAGGTGGGTGGGTGTGGGCTGGAGGGGGGTGGGCATTAAGGAGAGCACGCGTTGCGATGAGTGCTGGGTGTCCTACATAAGCGATGAATCGCTAAATTCTACTCCTGAGGCTAATAGTACACTACATGTTAGCTAACTAGAATTTAAGACTTGAAACATTAAGATCAATCAATCATAGTTGGAGGGGAGTAATTTACTAGAAACCTACACTCAATTAGAACTAGCTCCAGAAGTAGTAAAAGCAGATAAAGCTTCCCCCAAACAAAAGAGCATCAAAAACACGGTTTAATTAGGAGGAACCACCTCTTGTTGCTAAACAACAGGCAAGGCCTCAACTGAAATTGTTATCTTGCCTTTCAAAAAAATGAAACTGTCACAGCGTCAAAAGCACAATCCATGCCATTAAATCTAATTATGCTTTTTTTTATTTTCATGAAAGTTTTCATCTTTGAGGCCTGTCATCACTTACTGAAGTCATTTTTTTTCCAGCATCCCCTACAACATACAGATTAAAGTGGGAGAGGGAAAAAAAAATCCAAGCAAGCTGTGAATCCTATAACCCCCATGTAATCCCAAGGGAAATGACAGGCTGAGGACACTGTATCCAGGCCAGGATGGGGACCTGAGGTCAGGAGCGAAGAGGTGAGGCGCAGAGACCACAAGACACTGGGGACACAGGACAAGCACATGTGGGAGCCCGGATGCGACCCTGGGAGCGAAAGGGAACAGCACCAGAAGCACAGGTGAAATCTGAGTAGAGCCTGGAGTTCAGTTAATAGTAATTAACATACCAGTGTCGACCCCTCGGTAAGACGTTAACACGCATGGGGTTGAGCAAGGGCCGTGTGGGACTCTGTATTATTTTTGTCACTTTCCATACATCTAAATTATTGCAAAATAAAGGTTTACTCTAAAAAAAAAAAGAAAGAAAGAAAGACAGCAGCAAATTGTGTAAACAGAACTACCAGCCTAGGCTGATGCCCAGCAGAACGCTGCCGCGCCCTCAGAGATCGTCATGGGAGGGCAAAGGCCACCTGTGCGGGAGCTCGTGGGGCCAGGTGGGATCGGCTGAACCCGGTGCCGAGAACAATGACAACATGAAGCAAAGTAATGAAATGACATCATGTTGTCACAGCACCTCACACTGATCAGATCACTCGATGCTAACTCTGCACCTGACCCTTTGTGGTGCATGATACACATCTTCTTGTGTATTTCTCCAACTAACCGAGCGCGGCAGTGTTAAAGATGAGCAGGGACTGCACTCTAGAGGACAGCAGCTGGAGAGCGGCTGCAGGGACTCCAGCTCGGGGGTGCCTGACCTCTGCACAGCCCTGGAGAGCTCGCAAGGCAGGGTCACGGTTCATCCTGGGGGGTGGGAAGGAATGACTCCCATTGCACAGATGGAAACAGGAGGCTCAGAGAAGGAAGTGCCCCCTCCAACACGACCAGGTCAGAAAGGGCAAGGACGGGGTGCCTGTTGATCCAAAGCTACAGCCTGAGAACTTTCCATTCTGCTACATGGCACTGACAAAGGAAACTGCTGCGTCCTACATCAGCAGGTGACTCCAAACACCAGCAAGTGGGGATCTAGGATGGCTACTGGGTCTGCCCCACCATCCCAGGGCCCACCCTCAGTGGACAGGCTTGCACTCAGAGCCAAGGCCAGAACACACATTTCTAAAGAACAAATATAGGCAAGAGGAAGCTAAGGGTGAGGGAAGAGTTTATCAGAGAGCAAGGAGGGGTTTCTTGCAGGGTGATCCGGACTGTGACCTCCCACCCTAGCTCGAAGGGCTTGCTTTCCTTGGTTTTAGCTCAGATGAGGATGGCCACACACCCCATAGAAACTATTCTTTGTTGCATCCACTAGGCTCTGTCTCTATGGAACTGATTCACCTCAATACAAGTTCTTCAAAGGAGCAAAATTAGCATTTGCCGAGACCCTCGGGACCTCACAGGACAGGCAGAGACATACCTGCTAGCATCAGGGCTCGGATGCACTCCGTCCGGCCCTGCATGGCAGCTTTCATCAGGGCCGTGAACCCAAACACGTTCCTCCTTTCAAGGTCAAGACCAGGAAAATAGTTCAACAAGTAGTTGGTGATGGTGACGTGCCCTACAAAGAGAATTACACACGTTTATTGACCACATTCCACCCAGAGCAGACATGCCAGGAAGCCTTCCCAGAGGAAGATCACGTGGTCGACCTCCAGGACCAGCCCGTTGCGGGGGGGGGGGGGGGGCTGCCCCTCAGACACAAGAACCAATTTTCCTGGAGCCAGCAAGACACAGGGCGCCACCCTAGTTCATTCTGGTTCTCTTCGGCCCGCCCGCTTGGGAGCTCAGCTGTCTGTCAAAGTGGTGAGAGGGACCGTGGGGAGCCAGCACGCTGTGGAGGTGGCATGGGGAAACAGCTGAGCTAGCCTCCGGGACACCGGTGACCAGCGGGGAGGTCCTGGACGCGGTCGGCACCCCGGGAGATGCCAATCCAAACAGATGCACAACTAAAAATGAACCTTGGAGCCATTTCTCGGGGCTCCCTGGGAGAAGGTCATCTACACAACAAGAGGATACACCAATTCATGCTGTCACCTGCTGTTACCACTCAGAGGGGTCCATCTGTCTGTCTCTATCTCTCTCTCTCACACAAACACATGTGCAGAGGCAGGGAATGTGGGCAACGCTGCTACCCAAACCCTCAGCCATAACCCAAGCAGGTAAGAACATTCATTTGATAATACAGATTCTCCCCCTTTTCACCTTGCACTTCCAAAAAGATCTGAATGGGGACACTTGGGTGGCTCAGTGGTTGAGCATCTGCCTTCAGCTCAGGGCGTGATCCCGGGGTCCTGGGATTGAGTCCCACATCGGGGTCCCCACAGGGAGCCTGCTTCTCCCTCTGCCTGTGTCTCTGCTTCTCTGTGTGTCTCTCATGAATAAATAAATAAAATCTTTAAAAAAACAAAAACAAAAGGACCTGATTTTCTGTTCATGCCCAGACGGGTTCTTAAAAAGCCCACAAATTGTTAGATAAGGGTGAATAAGGGGAACATCATGTAAAAAGCATTATTCCCAGGATTCTCTAGGCTCACCCACAGAAAATCAAAATAGACTGAGGGAGTTCTTCAAAGAGAACCATCAGGGCCACGTAAAGAGGTTCTCAGGTCAAATGAACATGCTGCCCAATGCCCACTGGCTATGCTGAAGTCCTAGTGTGAAATGCACTCCCTTCCTCTTCAATCACCTAGAGCAGGGCCCCAACCTTGGCACTACCGACCTTTGGGGCCAGGTCATTCCTGTTACAGGAACGTTCTGTGCACTGATGCTGTCCTGGCAGCTGCATCCCTGGGGCTCTACCCACTAGACGCCAGTAGTGACCACATCTCTCCTTCTCCCCAGGTATGACAACCAAAAATGTGTCCTGCCATTGCTAGATATCCCCTGTGTTGGAAAACTCACCTGGTCCTAGAGGCTCAGACTTCACTGTTTCAGGATCAAATGCACCCAGGTGGGAGACGGCTCTCTTCCCCTGGGGCCCCTGCATCCCCATGTCCTTCTCTGAGCTGCCATCCCCGCCCTGGTCCCGGCCAACGTTGGCTAACCATCTGTGGAGAGTGCGAGGAGCCTGCAGGAGCCCCTCTCCTGTGCACTGGTGGAGGGGGGGCTGGGGATCCAGCCCTCTGAAATCCCCCTCCTTCCCAGTGCACACATGGTCCTGGGGAAGGCCTCGTGTCAGGCTGCAGGCGGGGGTCTCGTGGACACTCCAGGGCTCTCTGTCATTAACTGAGCATCACTTCCTCCCCCCAAGGGAGGCCTCGGCGCTATTGAAATGCCAGACCCATGGCCCCTTCCCTGGCTGACCCCAGGACAGTTAGTGCACGAGCTCTGGGACATCGTGGCAGAGGAGGTGAGGCCTCACGGCTGCCTGCTTTCCACAAAAACTGGAGTGTGGACTCTTCTAGAACCCATTGTTGTCTGCTGACCGTGGACCTCAGCCCATCTCCTGAAGTCATGGCAAAAATTAAAAACTGAGCCATGAAGCTTTCTGAGACAGAAACACTGACTAGCATGACCTTGCCGGAAACAAGCTACAAACAAATGGGTGTGACCTGCTAGCTCTGTGACTCATGGATTCCAACCCACAGCTGGTGCTTTTTGACTCCTTTGCTCACAAGGCCCTCTATTCATGCCATCGAAGGTGTTGGGGCGGGGATGATGCTGGCGGTCAGGTGCCCAGAGCAGCTTAATTGCTCTTAACTGTGGGGGGAGGAGGGTCCTTTGATCTCAGGTTCCTCACCCAGCTAAACGCTTTGCAGCACCTGTCAGATTTATTTTTTTTTATTTTTTTTATTGGAGTTCAATTTGCCAACATATAGCATAACACCCAGTGCTCATCCCACCAAGTGCCCATCACCCAGTGCCCATCACCCAGATTTAGAGTGAAACAAACTGCAATTTGTTTAGAGTCGTTTCTTTTAAAATGTGAAAGCATGTCTGTCGTAAATTCCAGCAGGATATCCTCTGCACCATTATATCCTAAACACTTTGAACAGGCAGGGAGAGGAAAAATGGAAAAATCACAAAGCAAACCACCCATTATACAGAACGGCTCTGCTTATTATGTTGGGCTCAGAAGAACCAACATGCAGCCAACTTGTTCTGACTACAGGCACGAGCTTTCAGTGATCCGTGAGATCCATCCTGCCTCCCCACTGGCTTTCTTAGGACAGCAGAATAATACCTCTTATCCCACAGAGGGCCCTGTTCACTGAAATCATGGGTGGACAAGATGCCTCTAAGTATACACAGGCATTAACCTCTCTCTTCTGTGAAAAACAGGACAACAGGTCCAAAATGGAGTCGCTTATGCTAAGGCCTCAGTCACCAAACCAAGGCTTAATTAGTTTTGCCTCTCCCAGAGACAGAATCTTAAACCAATCAATCAGGAATTGCCTGATCAACACTAGTGATCCTGATCATCTGCCCGATAGACCCCTGCCCTTCCCCAAAGGAAAGTGACCTGGCAATAACCAACCCACTTTTCTGCCCTAAATAGCTCCCTTATTCTTCCTCCCTCCTCCCCTTCCTTCCTCATCTGACTACAAAAATCTCTTACTTTATACAACTCCTTGGAGCACCTTTGTATCTGCTAGATGGGACACTACCCAATTTGAATCAACTTTTGCTCAAACTCAACATTTTTAATTTGCTGCAGTTTTTCTTTTAACATTTCTTTAAAACCATGACAATTCAACAAGAGGAGCTTTCCTTTTCTTTAGTAAGACAGAGACATATTTCATAGATAGGCAGAGAGACAGAGAAGACAGGCTAACACACAGTCTTCCCTACAGAACATGCACCATACTGAAACTTTGTTTTAGCCCAGTCCAACCTTCTGGCATAGGATTTGATGAATGAAGTCTTCCAATAAAGCCCTTTCAAAGGGTGGGCTCACCACAGACACCCCCAAATGCACCCCCCATGAGCCTGCCTAAGGGAAGAGCACAAGTGACACAGGGGTTAAGTGAATTCTCAATAAATTAGCTTCAGTGGCATGATTAAATGCCAATGTAGACAGAGAACTTAGGACTTAGAAGAGCTGACTGTGAGAACACCTAAGTTCAAGTCCCAGACTGTCACTTAAAATCCGGGTAGCCCTGGGAAGGTGCATCAACTTCACTGAGTTTCCACTTCTGGAAAATGGGAAATAATATCAACCTCACCCCTATGAGATTTACAGAAGACAATGTGTGTAACAAGTGCCTTGCAGAAAAAATTCCAAATAATTCCTGCAGATACTACACTCTCAGGGAGGACGAAGATAACAACCCACTCCTTAACTCATGGGCTATGCATTGTGGCTTCTTTCCAAAGAGGAGACTATCGCGGGCAGGGAGGAGACAGTGGAGAAACCTGACAAACACGACCTCAGCCAAGTGACCAAGGTGAGCACCAGTGGCGTTAAGTCATGTCGACAGCTGTACTGCCAAAGTCTCTTTGCTTGACCAAACTTTAGTCAGGCTCCTGAACCTTCTCCTAGGCCCATCTGGGTACTTCCTTGGAAAATCAAGTTTCAGCAAGAACTCTGCTCAGTTTGACCAGCACCCCACCCTCCATATCTGATCGTGGTCCTCATTCTCTACACCTCCCCAGGGAGATGACGGGTCACCTTGACCTGCCTTCAGCACAAACCCCATTAGTTCAGTTTAGCCACAACTTCCGTTACCCCTGAGTAATTTCCCACCCGCTGACCCCCACCCTGCTCCTTGGCTATAAACTCCCACTAGCCTGTGCCATATTCAGAGTTGAGCCAACAGCTCTCCCCCAACCCAAAATCTCATTGTGGTGGTCCCAGCGCCTATTACAGTGGTCCTGAATGAAGTCTACTTTACTATCTTTATAAGTGTCACTGCATTTGGGGGGGGGGGGAGCCTGGGTGGCTCAGCAGGTGAGTGTCTGCCTTCAGCTCAGGGTACAATCCCAGGGTCCTGGGATCAAGTCCCACATCAGCCTCCCCCCATGGAGCCTGCTTCTCCCTCTGCCTATGTCTCTGCCTCTCTCTGTCTCTCATGAACAAATAAAAAAAAATCTTTAAAAAAATAAGTGTCACTGCATTTGTTCTTTTAATGGTGCCCTTGATAAGATGTGATGAGAATGGTGTTTCTTCCTTGGTCTTCCCCACCTCCCCCGACTTACAACTCTAGTCTAATCATGAGCACACATGAAGCACACCCAAACTGAGACACATTCCACTAACTCCCTGACCAGTACTCCTCACACTGTCGAGACCATAAAAACAAGGAAAGTGGGAGAAACCATTGCAGCCAAGAGGAACCTGCTTTTACAGCTGGATGTAATGTGGGCCCCCAAATAGGATCCTGGAACAGAAGAAGGGATTAGAGAAACACTGAGAAAATCTGAGTAAAGAATGGACGAGTTTATGATAATAAAGCATCAATACTGGTTCATTCATTGTGTCAAATATATCCCACTAATGTAGGATCCCAACAACAGGAGATGCTGGGTACAAGTAGATGAGACTCTCTGTACCTTCTTTGCAGCTCTTCTGTGAGTCTAACTATTCTAAAATCAAAAATGTTTATTTTTTTAAAAGGG